ACACACACACACACACACACACACACAGACAACCCCGTAACAATATACGTTTTGTACTGCTGTTACATAGCACAAAACTCATAAAAATGAAGTCGGATTACCTGATCGCCTTTGCCGCTTTTATGAGTGAGTACTTGTCCCATATAATTTGTTGGAATTCCGCCCATGTTATAGTGGACCGTTGGTAGAACAGGTATTGGCTCTTTTGCAGCATCTACGCCCGCAAATATCATCGCTGTTTCCATAATGCCTGTAAAATTATGCGATAACTGGTAAACTGATTTCATGGTAAACACAAGACAGCTCAGACAATCGGCCTAAGAAAAATATGCCATTGATATTATTAAGATTCATTCCCAGGCCCTCCGATTTTGAGGCAAATACCTTCTCAAATTCCCGAGTTATGAACTCACCAAAAAAAAAAAATTTGGCGGGCCCGTACGCGGCTACCACGCTTACCTGGGTGATGGGTTTCAGTGCACCAACACTGACTTGGATGGGGGACATCATGCCGAGATTTGGGCGTTCTAGCTTCTCAAATCCCCGAGTTATGAACTCACCAAAAAAAAAAAAATTTGGCGGGCCCATGCGCGGCTACCACGCTTACCCGGGGGATGGGTTTCAGTGCACCAACACTGACTTGGATGGGAAACATCACTCTCAAATTAGCGCTCACCGCCTGCCCATTGTTTGGGCTCTACATGAGGCAAATATGCAAAAATTACCGCTCATTTTAAGACAAGCAGCAATCTGTACCTGGTAATTTTGCATGCAAATCTTTTGCAGGAATATGATGAAGTTGCAGATAGATATGATCCTTGTCCTTGCCAACCCCACGACCTTCCATTATTTCAATGGTCATTGCACGCGAAACAACATCACGCGAAGCCAAATCGAGCGCATTTGGAGCGTATTTTTTCATGAAACGTTCACCTTTGCTATTGACCAAAAAACCGCCTTCGCCTGGAAATCTCACGATGCTTGAAGTACACCAATATCAGCTCTACATACCACTGTACACAGACAAAAAAGTCCCTCTTTGTGTGCTAACTGTCTTGAAAGACGGGACATTTGGAACCAGCTTAAATGATAATATTTTGACAACAGCAATCAT